CGCCTGGGCATGAAACTGTGGCCTGGTTTGGGCAAAAGGACCTGGATGTCTGGATGTTGCCAAATAGAGAGACCACAGTCATCAGAAAGCACATCAAGGATAGACTGTATCGCTAACAAAGAATTGTTTGTAAAATAGGTTTCATCAACTATAGTATTTACATGGGATATTCAGAAGATATAATGATGAAATTCATGTTGCACTGGATTCGTTTTCTATTGCAAATGAAAATGAGGGCGTATGAAATATTTGAAAAATGTGTGTGGGAGGACTTGAATGCATGAGTCAAAACATGAGGGGACAAACATAGACATTTCTAAAAGTTATAATGGTTGCTACACCCCTGAAATGAGTAAATATAGATTTTGTTAATTGCTTTGCATATATATAATAACACAGTGGCCCTGAAAATAATTTGGATGCATGAACTACACGTACAAACCAAAGTCATTGCATCAGAAACAAAATGGCATTTGCAATTGCATTTTTATCCTTCACTATCTTCACTTTTTTGAATCACTATTGCAATGATTTTTTAACCAAGTGGTCTCAAGGGCTGCATCTGAAATCTCATTCTTCCCTACCATAGGTGAGTATGTGGAAAGAGTAGAATGTCCAAATGAGCAAAAACTAGTTTAAGTTCCAAATTAGTTTAAGTTAGCAAAACAGTAGGCAAAAAGTACCCAAATTACTTACTACTTCCAGCGAGATTCTGAGGTTGACTCATAATTGTAAATCCTTGGCATAATTGGGCTGAATGCATTATTTATCTTTATTGTATTTTAAAGAATTTTTTTCTCAGCCAGTGGTTCTCAACTTGTTTGGCAACCAAACACAATGCCAAATTTGTTTATCATAAAAAAAGCAAACAAAAATGATTGAGTTTGCTTTTTAATTGTCTCACAAATTTTGATAATTCATGTTGTCACCCAGTAATCTACCTCATAAACCACAAGATTTGACACAAAACAAAGGATGTTAAGCTAATGTGCATATGCCTATATTCTAAAGACAAATAAATCTACTTACAGATTGTGAATCTTTTATTTGGAATTACAAAATTTGACATCAAAAAGATAAGGGAAATATTTTCTCCACCCTTTTAAAAGATAATACGCCTTTAAAGTTTGTTATGGTTAGTGGTGTTTCATTATTTGCATTTAGATTATGCCTTCTATTGTGGTTACATCTCAAGTAGCATTTTTGCTAAGATGTGTGGTTAAGATATTGCATTTCTGTGCAAATATAAAGAGTATTTCATTCTCTTCAGTAGAGAATAAAAACTGCTGTAGAACCACAGTGTCATTCAGACATTTTAGTGGACACATGAGATGGAAAAAGAAACCAGTCAGACACCTTAGCAAACAGCACCTCTTGGGTCTTGTAGAGGCAGCTGTTTCACTAGTCACAGAGAGAGAGAGAGTGAGTGAGTGAGTGAGTGAGTGTGTGTGTGTGTGTGTGTGTGTGTGTGTGTGTGTGCACGCATTTTTGTGACAAATGAGGACATCAATTTGTATAATGACAAAGGTATGACATAGGTATTACAAGGAGAATGTGACTTTTCAGGATATTACCCCATGTCCCCACTTTTCAAAACGCTTATAAATCACACAGAATGGAGTGTACTGAAAATCTGAAATAGCACAAAGTTTCCTGTAAGGGGTAGGGTTGGTGTAGGGCAATAGAATATACGGTCTGTACAGTAGAAAAACCATTACGCCTATGGGATGTCCTCACTTTTCACAACAAACTAAAAAACAAACCTGTGTGTGTGTGTTCAAATCCCACCCTGCACTGCAGTTTCCAGACACTGTTTTGACTTCACTAAGGTGTGCTGGCTGAAATCTGAAGACTTGCAAGCACCTTACAATGGAAACTTTTTGCACCCGAGTTACAGCTATATCAGTGTGCATGGTAATTATGTGATTTGTGGCTTTATTATATATAAATCTTCTCTTATTACTTTTGCATAAGCAGAATATCGATATAAATCTACAGTATTTTCTACTGTGTTTGTGGAGACTGTTATATTGCGGATCTGTAGTTGGTCACTTTTACATGTTGGTTAAACAGTCATGGTGGTGAAGAATAAGCTACAAATGTGAAGAGACTTCATGCCGATAGTTGAAAGTCTGGCTCTGTGTGACTATCAGACCCCCGGCCCACAGTCTAGACAGGAACTAAGCAACCCATCAGGTTATTTGGGATATTGCATGGAAATAAACTACTTCTAATGAGTGGTTTTCCATATTCATTTGTAAAACTGCCATTGTTACAATCCATTCTCTTCTATTTGTCTTATTATGGGACATTTATGGGACTTGCATTTCTTTCTTTTTCTTCTTTTTTTCTATAGGACATAACTTTTGTGTGTCTCATTCTGAACTGTTCAGAAAATGGGATAATGTCACCAAAACACAGTGAGTTTTGGATGAGCTTTATGTTGATTGTGGTGCCATGATGTAATTATGCAATCAGATGGAAATACCATGGTGCTGGATTACATTTACATTTATTCATTTAGCTGTTATGCAAAGTGCTACCAAACTAAATTTCAATTATGCACTAGAATAATACTAAGTGTAAATGCAGAACAGTGGATTACCACATTCATACACCACATATATACCAAGGTACTTTAAAGAATACCATAGTACCATGAGCAAAACCATGGTGGATCTTTGCTACTTTTTTGATGACTTTACAATGCATCTAAGGAATTTTGTCCAATTTTTGTAACAAAAATGTACAGATGACCTGAGTGACCCTATGAAAGGCTTCATTATTTATCCCAGACATCATGGGAAGACAGCAAACAAGACACATCAACGAACCAACAGTCCGTAGACACAAGCATGGTCTGAAGACACGTCACAGACACTGCTGAGCGATTGAAACAACCATTGCCATTCACACACCGTCAACAAACACACACGTCTACCTGAGCAGCGACACTGAGTCACTGAGTTTCCCTGAGGATAAGGGAGTCTCGCCGCCACTGGCCGTTCACTATAGAGTGTCCCGAAAAACAGCAACTGGTTCAGTGGAGCATCGTGTTCATGTGGAATCCAGCACGTTGTCAAAGCTCCGTCAGCCGAACATGAGCTGGATGAGGTGAAGTGACATTCTGCGAGATTAGTATGCAGAAACCGGAATTCTGTGTGTGAATGTGAAGCACTTTTCACAAGAAGGTGAGGAGTGAGGAAGAGAGAAAGAATAAGTGGCAGACAGGAAGGAGAAAGCCATTTTCAGCAGCCATTCCCTCTACAAATAAAACCAAAAACCATGGTTTATATAGTTAAACCATAGTAACCATGGTTTTGCTACACTAACCATAGTTTAACCATGGTATTTGTAGAAAACCATTGTTACTACAGTTTTACTATAATAAAACCATGGTATATTTTTGTAAGGGTTACATCTTTAGCATCACATGAGCCTTCATAAATCATTCTAATATGCTGATTCACTGCTCAAGAAACATTTCTTATTATTGCCAATGTTGAAAACAGTTGTGCTGCTTCGATTTTTGTGAAAACCAAGATACTTTTTTAAGGATTATATTCAGGAAACAACAATATTTATTTGGTATAGACATATTTTTTGAAATCATCATTGTCTTTACTGTAAGTTAATTAATCGATTTAATATGTCATTGCTGATTATAAGTAGTAATGTCTTTTTCAAAAAAATCTGACTGACCCCAAACATTTTAACAGTAGGTTGTTTTAAATGCTTTACAATCTAATCAGCATTAAGAGATAAATATCGTAGATGTGTCTTTTATTTTGAAGTGTTGGAAGTCTCTTGTGTTTCCTGTTTCCTCCCTGAGTTTTATCTATTTATTTCTTGTTTATTCTTTGTTTTTGTTTTTATTAAAGAGGTCATAGGATGCTACATGCACTTTTACAAGTTGTTTAAACTGAAATGTGTGTTGGCAGTGTGTGTACACAACCACCCTAAAATTATACATATTCCCCCAGGTTTTTTTTTTTTTTAAATCTGCTCAAATCTTTACCCCTTTCTCAAATCGAGCCGATCTCAGAAGAAGGGAGTATAATGTTTTGTAATGAATCTTTGCAAATCGCCTTTACTAATAATGTGCTAATTAGCAAGTTTCACGATGAATGCGGCTAAAGTCTCTCTGAGAGCAGCTCGGGAGAGAGGGGTGGGGTCAGCAGATCTCATTAACATTTAAAGGACAATGCTACAAAAACGTCTTGATCTGAAAAGAGCTGTTTTTGACAGGGTAAAAAAAGGTGTTTTTTACACTACCATTGAGAAATTTTAACCAAACTATGTTACAGACTTTTCATTAATATCAACAGACATTCATTAATATCAACTTGTTGAAAATGGGCATCCTATGACACCTTTAAACTGAATTCTGGGTTTAAATGACCTCCCTTGGCTTCATTTGATCACTGCAACCAGAAAATCATTCATTCCTATCATGCAATGTCATAAAGTTTGACAAAATTCTTTGTTAATCATAAGAAGTCCACTTGTCAACCATCGTAAGAAACACCCTAGAAATGCTATCCAGTCATACAAATAAAAAAGATTCTTTCTACCATCTACTTTAATATTCATGACTGTTTGTCAAACTTATATCTGAAATTATAAGAGAAATGATAAACTGAGTGTTGCAGTTTCGCTCATTAATTTTTAAAGAAATGGACAGCCAGAACTGGATAAGAGAGACTATTAAAAAGTATATTGTGAAAAGATAATGTAAAAAAGACAGATTATTCTGTAAGAATAGTGTATTTTAGACATATGGAAGAAGTTTTTGTTCTTTATGTACTAATTAGTAGCATCTGGCATTTGAACAGTCCAATCTATGTGACTCAGCAGTTTTCTGGCTAAAGATTGTGTTTGTCAAGAGACTCCATGGAAACATATCTCTTGTGTTTAAAAGAAAACTTGCACAAACATCCCCTAAAAAGGTTGACAGTGTCTCCCAGGCTTTATCTCTCTGACCGTAAATGTACTCCCACCTGGTCCTGGACGAGCATGAGATGAAAACATCTCGACCACAAGTTGCTACAAATGAGAAGCACTGACAGAAGAGGTTGAAATCACTTTTACATAACTGTTTCATATTATGAAAATAATGGTGAATTCACTGACCAGTGAATAAATGGTGAACAAATGCGTGAATGCTCCTTTGTCTGCCCAGGTGAGTGGATCTCTGTTCCTTCCTGCAAAAACATGGAAAATCACTCCACCTCACAGACACACGTGGGCGCCGGACATGATTAAACCTCACAAATCCAGTTCTGGATCAAAGATCAAGCTGACCTAACACTTCAATCCTGGAGCATCTGCCTTCACATTTAATGAAAGCATGCCCTTAGCTTGCCTAGACGCATGAAATCAATTTGTAGAAAAAAATGTTTCCAAATAAATTATAATTGTGATACATTTTTGCTTTCTTTCTTGTCTTGCGTAGCCCGGCCATCAGCATAATGTCTGGTCCACTTTGCAGCTTCTTCTGACCAAGAATCACCAACCTAAACAAGAAGAGATCATCTGACCGTACACATTCAAAAGTCTGGGGTTGGTACGTTTTTTTTTTAAAAATGTAATAAAAACAGTAAACTATTATTACAATTTAGAATAACTGTTTTCTATTGTAATACATTTTAAAATGTAATTCATTCCTGTGATGCAAAGCTGAATTACTCCAGTTTTCAGTGTCACATGATCTTTCAGAAATCATTCTAACATGCTGAATTGCTCTATACAAATTATTATCAACTCCATGATTCTTTGACTGTTACAATATGTTGAACACAATGCTGCCAAAAAGGGGCGATAACGCAGACACTGGCGCTTTAGGGATGAACTCTGGGTGCTTGGGAGGAAATATTTAATCATGGAACTCTTGAGTTCTTGGGTTTGTACACTGCATTGACCATTACATTTACATTTAGTCATTTAGCAGACGCTTTTATCCAAAGCGACTTACAAATGAGGACAATAGAAGCAATCAAAACTAACAAAAGAGCAACAATATGTAAGTGCAAATGACAAGTCTCGGTTAGCCTAACGCAGTACACGCAGCGAGGTATTTCATATATATATATATACACACACACACACACACACACACAAAGAAAAACAGGTAGATAGAATAGAAAAAATAGAAAGCTAGTGTTAGTTTTTTTTTTATTAAAAAAAGGGAAATAGATCAAGTAGAATTAAAATAGAATACAAAGTGCTAGAGTTAGAGGGTCAAATAAAGATGGAACAGATGTGTTTTAGTCGTTTCTTGAAGATGGTTAAGGACTCAGCTGCTCAGATTGAGTTGGGCAGGTCATTCCACCAGGAGGGAACAGTTCATGAAAAAGTCTGTGAAAGTGATTTTGTGCCTCTTTGGGATGGCACAATAATGCATCGTTCGCTTGCAGAACGCAAGCTTCTAGAGGGCACATAACTCTGAAGTAATGCATTTAGGTAAAGGGGTGCAGTTTTGTAGGCAAACATGAATGCCTTGAATTGTATGGCATTATCCAATTTATCCATTATACTTAAGTACTCAAACTTTGCCAACAGAATATGAAAAATGTGGAGACCAAAGCTGTTATGAAATGTTATGAGAATTTTTCAGATGACTTGGCAAATCCAACTGCAAAATGGTTGTTGTTATCTGCAGTATGCCATCTGTATATAACTTGAGAATGCTTTAGCTGAGAAGTGATTTAAACATTGAGTTAATAATGCTCAAAGCAGTGAATAATTTTGATTAATGGTCAGCGTGGGATGGTCAGTCTCATACAGTAGATTAAGACACTGATTTAGTCTCTTACCGCAGAAAACTGCATACTATCAGTTAAAATCATATTTGTGAATTTTATCTCAGGTAAGGTGAAAGAGTAGTTTGAGGGCGAGTGAAGCTTGCGGACCGTCTGGGAGTCTTAGAGAATGTCAGGTCATTTATCAGCAAAGTGGTCTGGGATATATCTGTGCCTGTGCACTAAGAGAAAGAGAAAAGATGGTGTTACTGGAACATTTAAAGAACTAAATTGTTGCATAGGAGACACAAACAATATTTCATATAACTTTAAATCTGTAATAACTGCTCCAACAACAAATACAAAGGTTTGTCAACACAAAATTTGAATGTTGGCATGCCAACATGAACTTTTTTTTAGAAGAAACTAAAATATCTTAAACCAATATATGCACAATATATATCTACACCGGGGTCCGGGGCCGACTAGGGGCTTCAGGATGACTTACAATTATATATTATTATTAATGTAATTAATATAATAATTAATCTAATTAGTATATTATTGTAATACAACATTTATTAATATAGTTAACATTAACAATATATTAATAATTGTAATATCAACTATTTTAATATAATTAAAAATATAATTGATATAGTTAATATGATTTAATTAATATAATATTGTAATAAATCATTTATACAATTAACATTAATAATATTCCTAATATGTATTTGCCATGAATGAATATTTATTAGTAATGTTGTTTTAAAGTATCTAACCTAATTAAAATGCTAATAAAAAAAAAAAAATCAAAGCAAACTGTGTGTAATTGTGGTTAATTAATTTAACACAATTATAATTACAATAATTTCGAATACATTTATTGACAGTTTCTGTTATTAAAATGTTATATTTATTAGTATATGCATTCTGTTTCACTTTTCTTTTTGCATAAACTCTTGTTTTTTTTGCACCCACAACTATGGAAACCTCTGTCTAGGGTTACAGTTTGTTCATTTTATATATCTCACATTTTGATTTAAGTAGATGCAAAGGACGTTTTAAACTGATTGATGCATGAGCATGAATTTACAAAATCACTAAAGATGTCTATTGCAACATCTACAGTGTGCATAAAAGAGAAGGCAAATGTCTTGTTGCACTAATAGAAGTAGAGTGCTTGTAAACCTTTGGAGAATGCCAGGCGGTCCTGTCAGTGAAGTCCTGTTTTGCATCAGTTTTGAGGGGAAAAGTTCAGCAAAAGTGCTATGGAGTGGATGTACACACCAATCACACTGACTTTATATTAAACTTACCCTATACAGATCCACTCTGTTATGCAGCTCTATGGCTTTCTCAGTGACATGTTATTTAAACAGCTAATCCTCTGTTGATTCGTCAGCACGTAAATAAAAAAAAATGTGATGAGACTGCAGTTTTGCACAGAATGTAGTGGAAAAATAGCTGGGGGCAAAAACGTGTAGAGGCCGCATCTGTCTTGATGAGCACACCTGTCTGTCGCTGAGTCACGGCCTGTTATGTCAGTTCACTTCTGAATCATTTTTGAACTTGTCAGATGGTCAATGTACTTTTGCTCCAGACCTGCGGTGTTTGTGTGAGTGCTTGTTTGCTTCTGATTCAGAAGGTCCCTTACAACGCTGCTGTATTGTAACTGGATATGGTGTGAGACGACTTCATACAGAGAAGTGCTTGTGAGTATGTGCCATATGTTACGAAAAAGTATTTAGACAGCTAACAAGCACAACATAGTACAAATTGTAATATTTCACAAGGGAAACCAGATTTTATTTTGTTCTTGAAAATAATTCACACAGGCTCATGTCACCTCTTCCGAACTTCATAACTGTATTTCTGGTTTTAAGTCTAAGGGGGTGATTATTTTTCCCACAGGGATTTTAATTGATGATTTGTATTGTGCTGCTCAGTTGAATGCTTGATTCTAATTGGTCAACTACAGTGTGAAGTCGTAATATTTCATTACATTCTATATACAATAGGACACCACAAGTTGAAATGAACTTTTTTTATTACTAATTATATTAGCATACTTTTTTAGTGCAAACTTGCATTGCTTTATGCTTTAAAATGTTTAATTAGTAAGTAAAACTTTATAATATATATATATTTTTTTTATATATACTTTATATTTTATATTCAAACTGGAATCATCATGCGCTTCTCTGATGTTTGTAATAATTTTAGAATATATAAAGAGTATATTGCAATATATAATGACAAATCACATATAAAATATGAATTCAGTAATATACTGAAGTAGATACATATTTATTAATAAATATAAAGTATTTCAATAATGTATTTTAATACTACAATTATTTACAATAAATACACTTATGATATTGAATAAAAACAGTCTGCTCAGTGGGATGCTTGATTCTGATTGGTCAATCGCGGCATTAAGTCATAAAGGTGTAAAATATGTCATGCTATTATGTTAAATGTTATACTGTATACAGTACTGAGTTGCAAATGCAATATTATTATTTTGCATTCTTTTAGAATTTAATACAACCTTTTTTATCACAAATTATATTAGCATATATTCTTAGTGAAAAGTTGAATTGAAAAATGTATGTGCATTTATGAATGTCTTGGTCTTGTACTATTCGGTTTGGACTCTTTTGCTTTACTGACAGCAAGCTTACATGATCTTCTCAAATGATGACTAAAAATCTTCCGATGTGTTTCACAGATGTGAAAAGGAAAGAGTTGGATGACAGAACTGAGCAGAATTTCAGCAGGAGACTGTTGACATTGTGAGCAATGAGGTTTTGTACTGAGTCACATGCCTAGACATGAACACCAGGTACTGGACATCAGTTCCTGTAAGTGTTTGTTTGTGTGCCGTAGAGTACTAAATCTTTTTTTTTTTTTTGTCGCCAGCAGCTATTTCCCTTTCTACTCAGTGACTTCCAGAATCAGCCAGGCTAGACAAAAACGTGCACCAGAAACACTGCATATTTTCCACACATGTAAAAGAACACTAGGCATGATGGGTAAGCAGCGTGCCCAGAATCGCTCTGCTCTCTTTCCACTTTATTCAGCATGGAGGATAAGTCTTAAGCTAAGCAAATAAAAAACATAAAGACTTAGAGAAAAGATAGCACATTTGTTACATGTGCATTTTGAGAAGTACATCTAAGACAAACCCTATAAAATACATTAAATTTCAGTTTTACTTTCTAAATTCACCCATGATTTTGTCATGCCACGAGTTATTTTGATGTCATGACCTTTTTGGTTCTAAAACTGTTAGTTATTAAAACACAGTACATGACTGTAAATTAATTAATTAATTAATACAAAATAATAGTATTTTTAAAATGCTTTTTATTTTAAATTGTTTTATGTATTTAGTAACAATTAGTACAACTTTAATTTATTTATATATATATAAATACTTTAATCTAGGCCTACATGTACTGCTCTGATGTTTGAAAAAAAAAAAAAGTTAGCATGTATAAAGATTATATCATTCTAACTGAATAAATACCATAAACCATATATAAAATATGAATTTAGTAATACTATATTTGAGATAAATACATTATTTACTGATGAATAAATATTTAAAGTATTATACATATTATATATTTCATGTTACATTGATATTTAATTTTATCATGTGTATTAAATATATATATATGTTGATAATATTTAATATTATGAATATTTTATTATTTTCATTATTGCATTCGTTAAAATGTATTTAGCTAGACCTATGTTCAAATGTATACGATATATATTTTTTATAAAAATAAAAAAATACATCTATATAAATATATGGTTAGATAATTTAAAATATATCTAATGTTAATAGAACTTGTTAACTCTGAATAGCTGTGAACTCTAGATGACAGTTACCTGCGGGTTCATGACTGCGCAGGTGATGCTTGAGTTGTGCCAGATTTCCCGACACTGACGCAGAGACTGGAGAGGGTGAGATCCCTCCCCTCAAGCCCCCAAGCTCTCTCTCTCTCTCTCTCCACACTGGGCTGGATAATATCCCCCTTTAAAAGAGCACTCGTCCCACATCAGCTGGACGGCGGAGGTTCAGTACTGTCAGGGGAAGGCAGTTGAAATACAACCGTGCGCAAAGACAATCAGCCCCCGTGAACCTCTCCGCGCCTTCCTCTTTAGTGCGCAACAGAAAACACTGCACATTGACACACTTGTTCTCCGTAGCGGGTGAAAATGACCCGTATCTCAGTTAAGAGGCTTCTGCTCCTGCTGTGCATCGGGGGATCTGTCCACTGTATGCCACAATCTGCAGGGAAAAGTAAAAGACAATCGCAGGAACAAGTCCGTCTGGACCCGGTCTACGAGGAAGCTAGGAGTTTAGCAATCCATGAAAGTAAGTTCATCAGTTTATTTATTTGCGGCGAAAAAAGGGCATACGTAATTTTAAGATCCAAATTTCACTTTTAACTAACTAACTATTAACTTGTGCCTCAGTAAACCCATAATTTGCTGCTCATTAATGGTAAATTGGGTAGTTGTTAAATTTAAGTATGGGGTAGGATTATGACAGAATAAGGCATTAATATTTGCTTTATAAGTACTAATAAACAGCCAATATGCTAGTAATGAATGTTAGTTAATAGGAAAAATTGATCTTTCAAATGTAGTGTTACCTAAACATTATATCTATATATTTATATTATAAATAAGACCACTGTACAAGGAAAAGAAAGAAAGAAAGTCTGTTAAAAAAAGTGTCATTTTTTTTTTACTTTAGATGGCTGCAACGACAACGGTCGATTTTATAGAATGAACGATCAGTGGGAGCGTCAGTACATGGACAGCACTCTCATCTGCACTTGTGCGGGGGCTTCAGGGGTCAAGTGTAAATCCAAACCTGCAGGTGAGCGATTTTATCATTCAGATCTTTTTATTCTGAGCTTCTGAGATTATGCTTAAATTTGCATTTATGATTTTCTTTGAGTGCGCAAGAATGCGCAATTGCGCACGAACTGTAGGCGCGCTGAACGAGTTGTTCATTCTCTGTATTTAATGTGAAGCTTTATTTATGTGATGCATTTGCAGTATGATGTATGTGGAGATATATATGGTTTATCTGCACGTTTTTGTCACCTGTAGCCGAGGAGACGTGCTATGACAGATTCAATGCGCGCTCCTACCAAGTCGGAGAGACTTACGAGCGACCGAAGGATGGCATGATATGGGACTGTACCTGCATTGGGTCAGGCAAAGGCAAAATTAGCTGCACCATCGCAAGTAAGTCCAAGAAAGTAGAAGAAGAAGAAAAAAGAAAAGAAAAGAAGAGTTTTACATTAATAAAATCCCATTACTAAACAATCCGCTTTTTCTTGTTTACAGATCGCTGCCATGATGGAGGAAATTCCTACAAAATCGGAGACACCTGGACACGACCACACGACACTGGAGCCTACATGCTTGAATGCGTGTGCCTCGGCAATGGAAAGGGAGAGTGGACTTGTAAACCAGTTGGTGAGTCAGTGTTTACCTGTAGTGTACATTTGTCTTTGCAAACATTTTGCAAACTAATAGCTATTCCTGTAAATCTGTATAAATAGGCTAGTCAAGCTGTTTGCAAACAGTTACAACGCAGGTATAACTATTTAAGGATTTTTTAATCAATTTTAAAATTGCATTACATTTTAATTTCTTTGAAAGGTTATGCACATTTTTCATGAATGCACATATGTATTTATTTAAACGCCCTGTTATTTGTTTGTTGCTTGGTTGGTTATGTGTATATGAACACTGAGATGAAATTTCATTGTACAAGGAAAAGAAAGAAAGAAAGTCTGTTAAAAAAAGTGTCATTTTTTTTTTACTTTAGATGGCTGCAACGACAACGGTCGATTTTATAGAATGAACGATCAGTGGGAGCGTCAGTACATGGACAGCACTCTCATCTGCACTTGTGCGGGGGCTTCAGGGGTCAAGTGTAAATCCAAACCTGCAGGTGAGCGATTTTATCATTCAGATCTTTTTATTCTGAGCTTCTGAGATTATGCTTAAATTTGCATTTATGATTTTCTTTGAGTGCGCAAGAATGCGCAATTGCGCACGAACTGTAGGCGCGCTGAACGAGTTGTTCATTCTCTGTATTTAATGTGAAGCTTTATTTATGTGATGCATTTGCAGTATGATGTATGTGGAGATATATATGGTTTATCTGCACGTTTTTGTCACCTGTAGCCGAGGAGACGTGCTATGACAGATTCAATGCGCGCTCCTACCAAGTCGGAGAGACTTACGAGCGACCGAAGGATGGCATGATATGGGACTGTACCTGCATTGGGTCAGGCAAAGGCAAAATTAGCTGCACCATCGCAAGTAAGTCCAAGAAAGTAGAAGAAGAAGAAAAAAGAAAAGAAAAGAAGAATTTTACATTAATAAAATCCCATTACTAAACAATCCGCTTTTTCTTGTTTACAGATCGCTGCCATGATGGAGGAAATTCCTACAAAATCGGAGACACCTGGACACGACCACACGACACTGGAGCCTACATGCTTGAATGCGTGTGCCTCGGCAATGGAAAGGGAGAGTGGACTTGTAAACCAGTTGGTGAGTTAGTGTTTACCTGTAGTGTACATTTGTCTTTGCAAACATTTTGCAAACTAATAGCTATTCCTGTAAATCTGTATAAATAGGCTAGTCAAGCTGTTTGCAAACAGTTACAGAGCAGGTATAACTATTTAAGGATTTTTTAATCAATTTTAAAATTGCATTACATTTTAATTTCTTTGAAAGGTTATGCACATTTTTCATGAATGCACATATGTATTTATTTAAACGCCCTGTTATTTGTTTGTTGCTTGGTTGGTTATGTGTATATGAACACTGAGATGAAATTTCATGCGACTCTTTTCGGAAATTTGGCATGCCACACGCAAGTGGGAAGAACAAGATGCTAAATTTACTGTGTCTTCACAGCGGAGCGTTGCTATGATGACTCGCTAGGATCTTCATATGTGGTTGGTCAGACATGGCAGAAACCCTACCAAGGCTGGATGATAGTAGACTGCACCTGTTTGGGAGAGGGCAACGGACGCATCACCTGCACCTCCAGAAGTAAGAGTTTGTTTTCAATATTGCATGTCTTCAGCATCAGTAGAACCGCCTTTTTGTTGTGTTTCTTGCTCAGTAGACGCCTACTTATTTCTAAGGCCCTGTTTTTTTTCTCCAAAGCACAGCAATTTTCCATGTCTCCTTTTATGCCTTTGTAGTTATTTGTGTGACACACCCTTATTACATAATTACCAATGAGCTCTGCAGAGATGCAAACTCTGTATAGCTGGATGGGAGCATGCACATGGAAAATTACAGTGTGGACTTTCCAGGCCTATTGAAGTTGAATTCTTGCAGTGAAAGGAAGTGGAGGGGGTGAACAAACACTATTACGATCTTGACACCCTTCCCCTTCTCTGCTTGGAAAGTGTCAGAAAACACTTCATCAGGGTCATAAATAAAGACAACCTACTGAAGTGTGACGGTGTGGAGGTGTTTCCTAAACAAGCTTGTGCCAAGCAAAAGTGGGAAAAAAGGGTTGGATGAATAAATGTGAATGTATCTTTGTAAAGAGGATTTTCCAAATGGCACATTTGTCACCTTAACTTATTTCATTGTCTTTTCCAGACCGCTGTAATGACCAGGACACTAGTACCTCATACCGTATTGGTGAGACCTGGACCAAAACTGACTCCAATGGAAACACTCTGCAGTGTCTTTGCACAGGCAACGGTCGTGGAGAATGGAAGTGTGACAGACATGCTGCTTCCCATGCAACACCCGCCATTGGTACGTGTGCTGTCAGATAGATGGAGATGCGTTATTGCATTATTAAGTTCCAATTCTCCATGTTTTTATGAGTAAATGCTCACATGATTACACTAAAGCCAATGAAAGGTGCAACATTTGTTAAAGTGTAGACCAAATTTGCCTAGATGATATGTAGCATAAGTGTGTAGCAGCCCAGATGTTCATTACATAAACCAAAGGAAACCTATTGGAATATCTATTGTAAAAAAAAATCTGAAAGGATCCAAATGAGAATTCCAAGGAATGACAAATAACATAAAGCAAAATCTAGATCCTAAAGCACGTATATCCCAAGTGGCCAATAAGTTGCTTAATAATCTTTTGAACGTATAGTAAAAAGGTTTTGGAAGCAATTTCAGTAGGATCATATTTCCTATGATCCCAATGGGACTGATCCTAAATTTGATCGAAAATTCCAATAGGAATTCTTTGGAATATTTATTCCTACAGGGGATTTTTGCTATTAGCTTCAACAGCTTGTCTCTGTTGTCTTTGTGACTAGGTTCTGACTCTTCCGCGACTCAAAGGGTTTCACCAGTGATAAACCAAGTCAATGTCCTGGCTGAACTTCTTGAGGAGGGCAACTGTAAAACTGATTCTGGTGTGTACTACTCCAATGGCATGAGCTGGATCAGAAGTCAGGGCAGCAAGGAGATGCTTTGCACTTGTGTTGGAGGAGGAATCAGCTGTGAAGAGCAAGGTGACCTTTACCTATTTCAATTGAATTTAGGGATTCAGGAAAATTTAGTACACTTGTTATGTTAACCAGTTCTTGGAAACCTTGAAGGGCATGTGACCAATGTAGGTTTAAGTTATTTCTCACCCATTTTTTGTAATTTTTCTTCTACTTCTGTGCATAAAAAGGCAAAAACCTTTACATTGGTGCATTTGGAAGATGCTTGATCCAAAGCGAATTACATTTTGTACTATTTATTTTCTACCAGTTCATGCATTTCCTGGGAATCAAACCCAGTTTTGCCATGCTCTACTGTTTGAGCTACAGGAAAAAAGGCCTAAAACAAACTGTTTTGGTGCAAAGTGGTTATCTCCCAAATGAGTATACAAGTTTAAATGTTTCGAATATTCGAAAAACCCCAGTGCCATTATTAAAGTTGTCCTCTCCTTGATTTACGCAGATGGACAGTCCTTTGTTTACGGTGGCAACTCCGGTGGGCAGCCATGTGTGTTCCCATTTGTTTATAGTGGGAACACCCACTACTCTTGCATCTCTGAGGGCCGAACAGATGGGCAGTTATGGTGCAGTACTTCATCTGACTATGATAGTGACGGCTTGTACTCATTCTGTACCCGAAGGAACCGTAAGTGCATCTAAGAGCCTCTTTCTTTATGTATCTTGAATACATCGATTTAAACCAGCAAACTACCCAGTTTATGTTGGTTTCGACCAAAGCCACACTACATGGTCTTCTTGGTAAAACTGGTTGACCAAGGGGGCAAAGCCTTGGTCGAAACCAGCATACAGTATATTTTCACTAGGGTGCAAATTAATGTAATGAATGTCTGATTGTTCCTTTTTTGGTCTTTCAGAGCTTGTGGCGACTCGTGGAGGAAACTCTAATGGTGCTCTGTGCCAGTTTCCGTTCAAGTATAATGGACGCAACTACACAGATTGCACATCTGACGGCCGTCGTGACGCCATGAAGTGGTGTGGTACCACTACTGACTATGATTCAGATCGGAAATACGGATTCTGTCCCATGGCTGGTGAGAATGTTTAATTGTTTTAGGTCGATTTTTCTCCTTTTAGAAATTGCAAAGTTGTACTAAGAAGTTCCCCTACAGCAGTACTGGCTTTGTTCACTACAATATGAAGTTATTTCCTCAAAGGATAACAGAGGAAATGGTTCCTGACAGTGGAAATTCACTAATAGTAGTGCTGTCAAACGATTAATCACGATTAATCACATCCAAAATAAAAGTTTTTGTTTACATAATATATTTGTGTGTGCTGTGTATATTTATTATACATATATAAATACACACACATGCATGTATATATTTAAGAAAAATATGTTAAGTTTATACATTTAAAATATTTATATATAATATCAATTATATGAATATAAATATATACATGGAAATATTTTCAAAATATATACTGTATGTGTGTGTATTTATATATATATACATAATAAATATACACAGTATACACACACAGCTGGACCACAAAACCAGTCATAAGTGTCATAAATTGAGATTTGTATCATCTGGAAGCTGAATAAATTAGTTTTCCTTTGATGTATGGTTTTTGTTAGGATAGGACAATATTTGGCAGAGATACAACTACTTGGAAATCTGTAATCTGAGGGTGCAAAAAAAAAAAAAAATATTGAGAAAATCGCCTTTAAATTTGTCCAAATGAAGTTCTTAGCAATGCATATTACTAATCAAAAATGAAGTTTTAATATATTTATGGTAGGAAATTTACAAAATATCTTCATGGGACATGATCTTTACTTAATATCCTAATGATTTTGGGCATAAAAGAAAAATCAATTATTTTGACCCATACAATGAATTTTTGGCTTTTGCTACAAATATACCCCAGCGACTTAAGACTGGTTTTGTGGTCCAGGGTCACATATATTATGTAAACAAAAACTTTTATTTTGGATGCAATTAATCGCAATTAATCGTTTGACAGCACTATAGGTTAAAAAAATACATATTTTGCACATTAAAACTTCACTTAAATTGGAGTACACTGTAAAAACTGAAAGATTTCAGCACATTGATGCATAAAAGTCACTTTTATACAGTCACAATATAGTTTTCATGTACTCAGTGTGTCAGTAGGTGTATAACTATGTGTTGTTATATGTTTCAATTATTGGTTCTTTTTAATGCATTCAGCTGAAGTCAGGTTTTATAGACAGTAATAGCTATATTGGCCTTAATTGGTCATTTATGTGCTCAGGCCATGACACTCAGTGGCCTGCAAATGAGTTCTTGAGATGTATTTAAGAGCTATTAAGGGAGCTGGAGTTTTTAAGGCCATGTAATGGGGTACTGATTTGTGGCTCCACTGACTGGATCTATGGGGTCCGCCCTTGTCAGGGTTTTAAGCCTGGCTCCGGTCCAGACCTGACATAGTTCCTGGCTGAGTTCCAGGGAGAATGAGATCAGAATGACCATGGAACATTATGTGCATTCAGAATAGATGTGCTTGTTGTAAGTTTTTGGATTGATTTTATGCAATCATAAATTCCCTTTCTTCATATTAATCCAGCTCATGAGGAAGTCTGCACCATTAATGATGTCATGTACCGTGTGGGTGATGAGTGGGACAAACGCCATGACACGCTTGGTCACATGATGCGCTGCACTTGCCAGGGCAACGGACGTGGAGAGTGGAACTGCATTTCCCACACTCAGCTCAGAGGTCATTAGATGTTCTCAAACACACTTATCTTACAGATATACCACTGATATTTCAAAAAGTAGTTCTGGACATGACATTAGACTATGACATAACATTATGAAATATAGTAAATAAAAAATATGTGAAATATATATTCTTATGTATACTTTATTATTTTATTTACAATGAGATTTATGCTCATCAAGACTGCATTTATTTGATCAAAAATGGTAAAATATTATTACAGTTTAAAATTGTTGTTCTCTACCTAAATATATTTTAAAATGTATTTTATTCCTCTGACAAAGCTGAATTCTCAGTGTCATCACTCCAGTCTTCAGTGTGACATGATCCTTCAGAAATCATTCTAATATGCTGATTTGAAACATTTCTGTTTATCATCACTGTTGAAAATGGTTGTGCTGCTTAATATTTATAGGAAACCCTGATGCACTTTTTAGAATTCTTTCAAAAGAACAGAATTTGTTTTGTTTGAAATAATATTTTTTATTAGAATTAACAATATAAAGGTCTTTACCAGTCTTTAGATAGTGTCCAAAACTATGTAGGTTCTGCCTACAAATTCAAATTGGGAGTATAGAGGATGCAGATCTCCCAAATTGCTTCCATATCTCCCTTTTTGTCACTCGTAGTCATCGTAGTTAAACAAACAAAAAATTCTTCCCTATTTCAGACCAGTGTGTTGTGAATGGACAGACATATGATGTTAACGAGACCTTTGATAAGCGTCATGACCAGGGCTACATGATGAACTGCACATGCTTTGGCCAAGGTCGCGGTCGCTGGAAATGTGATGCCATCGGTAAGCCGGGACTCTCTAATTTTGCTGCTATGTTCAGTGTTTTGTTCTGTTTTCTTTTTCTAACCTTTTTCTCAAAATGTCAGAACTTCCTTTTATATGTTCAAAGTATTTTACAGCGTGAATGGCCCATGTTTCCTTCGATTCAAATCGAACAGACTCTATTTAAACAATAGTTTTTTTCAACATGTTAGAGTTGCAACGAAAGAAAGACTATTTTTACTTTGTCTACAAAAACCCTTTAATCTTTTTCTTTAGACCAGTGCCAGGAACCCGAGACCAAGGTGTTCTACCAGACTGGCGATACATGGAACAAGGACATCCAAGGCGTCCCATATAGATGTTCCTGCTATGGTAACGGCATTGGAGAACTGGCTTGTGAGCCTCTGCAGTCTACCGGTAAGAGATCTCACTACTTTCAAAAAAAGACCTAGCTAACAGAACTAAAAATGACTGGGAATTCAAAGGCAAGAAACAGGATATCTGTTGTTGCCATACAGTCACTTTCCCGCAATTACCCTCCTTTAACTTGACTAACAGTTGATTATGCATGTTTGTTTTTCTTTTAAAAGTCTCAAATGGTCTCACTGAAGGATTTCTCGTCTGTCATTTACTATCAACAATCTCTTGTCAACCACCTTCTAATGTCTCTACAGGGGGAACATTAACCATTCGAAGTTAGCCAGATGGGACAGGTGTTTATTTATTTTCTTCCATGGAACATGGATTTAGCAGAATATCCAGGCTGCTCTTTTATTTATAATAAAAGTAGATAAAGTAACTGGGGCTGTCAAGCTTCAGAAAGTACCATAAAGTATAGCCATACGATATCGTGGTGTGAGAAACAATTGTTTCTCATTGACAATTCTGCCTTTGAGCACCATTGTGTTAGAGCCTTTGCAAAGTTTTATTTTTGTCTATGCTTATGGCGCAATTGTGCAAAATATCAAATGGGATTCTCAAATACCGTCTATAGCTTTTAATACCATGGTCTGCTGTTCATTTGCGATTCTGTACAACCAAATGGCTTGTAGTAATGTAAGACAGGTTGCCGTTTGTTAGCTTTTGGCCTTTTTTGAGGAAAGTGTGAGCTGTATTTTTACGACCTTCACAGAACCAAAAAAGAACAGCCGCACTCAGACCATCTGTAAATGATTGTCTTTAGCACTGTATATCGAAGGTCGTACTTTTGAAGGGCCACTGTGAATTTGTATCTGGGATACCATCTTACTGTTTTGTGTCATTTTGGTTTGACACCACAAAGGCCGATGTATTTTCTGCCAAGAGGTGAAGAGGACATTAGAATTGTTCAAAATGACCTCACTGCCTTGAATTGCATGCAGCTGTTAACCAAACTCTGTGAAGGCCTGGGGATAATAAAGGGTAAAGTGGGTGCAGCATGTTATGGTCGGGTGTGATTTTTAACACCGCACCCATGCAATCATCCTTTGGACTGTTTAACGCCCCTCACTTGACAAACTGGGGTAATTTTGCTCCATTTTCAGACATGGCCAGACAGTAGATTAAACTGTCTTATCCAAACTTTTTTCAAATTCGAAACAGACTGTTTTCTCCTTTTCTTTGATTTTAGTTTATTACCCGTTTTGTCTCATATGCTGTATTAAATACAGTTGCAGAGTAAATGCCCTTTACAATATGAAACTATCTAATCAGTTGACAATCATTCATTTTTATCCTCCTCCTCAAAAGCTCCTGTTCGGGTCATCATCACAGAAGCTGGAAATCAGCCAAATTCTCATCCCATCCAATGGAACGCTCCCCCGTCTGCCCACATTACGCAATATATCCTGAAGTGGAGAGTCGTAAGTCTTTGTGTTTTGCAGTCTCACGTTATGAGGATTTTCAGAGCTGGATTTTTATGGTGATAGTTTTAGTGCCAATTTATGTCGATAAGGTAGAGTACAAAAGCATCGACTGTAATCCAGATTCCTGGAACGAGAGACATTTTGTCCCTTCATTGAATGTTTGTGTACCTCTCTGCAAGGGATGATCCCTTATGCTAAAAGCACAGGATGAGATTTCATCACACACAAACATGCCACAGTCCTTGAACTTAAAAACACACATTTACTCTTCAGTCTGACAAGATGAAACTGACTTCAGTGGAAAGTTGCAAAATTGTGCATTTAACTAAAAGAAAGAGGCTTTTCAGAATTAATTTTTTTTTTCTGCCAGGGCGTTTTAAATTGCAATATGTCTGAAGCTGTGTTTGGACAATATTTTATTTTTGCAGGCCAATGTACATTCGAAAATATTTTTGGAATGTACTTTCAATTTTCTTAATTTTAAATGTCAAGAGACTTCTAACAAACTGACCTTTATCAAAATAACCGCTCTTTGTTACTCTGCAAGCTGTTTCAAATAAAGCAGAATTGTTTAACATGTAAAGGCACAAGAAATATATATATATATATATATTCATGCTACAGTTTTACCACAGATTCACCTCTTTGAAAAAAAAAAGATGTTTTTAGCTTCTGTATTTTTCAGTGTAACGTTTTCCTTTCCCAGAAAAACACACGGACACCCTGGAAGGAGGTAACCATTCCTGGGCACATCAACTCACACACTATTTCAGGGCTTAAACCAGGTTTGACCTATGAAGGTCAGCTGATCAGCATTCTACGCTACGGACCGAGAGAGGTCACTCGCTTTGACTTCACCACTACGTATGGCTCTCGTACGTAGATGTTCCATTCTTTTCTTTTCTTTAGGAATTTAAAAAACGTTGAAATAAAACATGAAATCTTCATCCAGCATATTCCCATTTCTGCAGTGGAAAAAACAGAGGGTGAGACCACCCAGCCTCCACCAGTAGTGGACACCTCAGAGTCCGTTACCGAAATCACCTCCAGCAGCTTCGTCATCTCCTGGGTATCTGCATCCGAGACAGTGTCTGGATTTAGAGTGCAATATGAACTCTCTGAGGAAGGAGCCCCACAAAATGTGATTGGTAAGTATTGTAGGAGACATGCAACTTGCTAAAAAATGAATAGGAGAAATAGTAATGCTCAAATGGACAGCAGTGAGAAGAAAAGATCCAACTTCTGAGCTAAAGAAGCTAAATTTATAATACCAATATTGTCCAATTATGATTAATTCAAATTTGAAAGTGGCTTTGTAAAATTGTATTGAATTCATAATTACCCTTTGTTTTCCACAGACCTCCCAAGAACAGTTACATCAGTGAACATTCAAGATCTTCTGCCTGGCCGTAGGTACAACGTCCAAGTTTTTGAAGTCAAACCAGAAGGAGATAAAAATCTCATCCTGACAACTACTCAGACCACTGGTAAGATATCCATCACTGTGCCAAAATGAACTTTTTGAGATCATTTAACAGCTATGAAGATTTTCTACCAGGCATGAATTACCTTCATAGCATTTCCATAGCAGACAGCAAGTTCATTACTGACATGATTATTTTGTTGCTCAATTTTTGTTGTTGGTTTGATGCTAACATTGGGTTGCCACATGAAGTGGTTGGTTACGACAACAAAAGAAACCTTTCTTTTGTTCAAAACTAAATTTACATATTTAACATCCATCCACTAAAATGATCAGATTCCATTGCACATTCAAATTAATCGTCTGTCTATTCACAGCACCTGACGCTCCAACTAATTATGAGGTCTCAAATGTACAGGAGACAGCCATCATGATCAGATGGTCCAAACCCCAAGCACCTATAACTGGTGAGTAACATTTGTGTACCAGCATTCATGCATTACGATTGTCTTTAAAGTTGCATTTATACTACATCTGCAGATAATGTATGAATGTGGAATAGGTGTTAACAACGTTTTAATGTAATGTGTTTGCACAGGCTATCGTGTGGTGTACACACCCTCGGTCGAGGGCAGCAGTACTGAACTCATCCTCCCTGAGGCTCAAACATTTGTGACACTGGGTGACCTTCGACCTGGCCTGTCATACAATGTCAGTATTTACTCAGTGGAAGACAACTTGGAGAGTAAACCTTTGGTCCTACAGGTCAGCACCGCTGGAGAGCAAAAGCCTGGTACGAGTTCAGATGATCCATTTTAGGATCCTTTTATTGGACAGATACTGTAGAAAGTGACAGGAAACATTGAGAAAGAGGTTGAGGCATGTTGCAGCCTGTACCTCCTGCTTTATTTTTATAGCTTATTGACGCATCTAGTTTTTTAGTTCAGAATTTGTATTCTTACCTCTGTTTGCATCAGTGTTTTTCTCTCACACACTTAGTATTTTATGTCTGTACTGGAGTTCAAACAACTTTATTAAGAGGCTTTTGCTCACTTTTCTCTAAGCTTGTGAAAGTGCCCAAATTTCTTATTCACGTGTAAAGATGTCTGCCAGTTCTCTGTCTCTTCTCGATCAGAGCTGATTCTAGCAAATGCCTGAGCTGGGAAATTTAGTGCTTTCTCAGAGCCAAAACAACCTTATAAGGATGAACTGGGAAGCTTTGAGCGTGTCTTTCTGTTCTTGTCTTGCCAGTTGAGGTTGAGTTTTTACCAAACACACACTTCCTTATGCGAACTGTGAAAACTCTTTTCTGCTTTGCATGATTTTGCTTTTCTCTCTGGAAGCTAACAGAGCACTCGTTTTGAACTCCACGAAAGCATGCATTGATGATATAGACATTCCCAATTTAGTACTAACCCAAGTACTAACTTGTTAAACCAAGCATCACTATTTCTCTTGCTTTTACTTACGGTTAGGGATTTGAACAGACTAATCCTAATCCTAATCATGGTCATTCCTACCTCCCCTTGTAGTAGAGCTCTGAAAGATTGTAATGTTGCTTTCCGTCTCATTAACAGAGGTGGTCCAAGCTCCCACAGACCTGCAGTTTTATGAAGTTACTGATGTCAAGATCACCATCACCTGGACTGGTCCTCCTAATGAGGTCTCAGGATACCGCGTGACCTTTGCACCCGTAAGCACAGATGGCCGGACCCAGAGACCCCTTCAGCTTCCTGTGACACAGAATGCTTATGCCGAGCTCACGCACCTGCAACCTGGCACACTCTACCGCTTCCATATCTATGCAGTCAACAGAGGAGTGGAGAGTGAACCTTTGGTTGGGGAGCAATCTACAAGTGGGTGACATTCATATGTTTGTCTTTGAGCTGATCATTTTATCAACTAATAAAAGAAGCTGAATCTGTATATAGTTACATTTATATTATACATAGCATCTTAGTCAACTTTTCACCACATTTCCTTCTCAGAGCCTGATGCCCCTACTGACCTGAGGTTCACTGACATCATTGATGACAGCGCTGTGGTCATCTGGACTGTCCCCAAAGCTCAGGTCACAGGTTATCGTCTCTTCATCAGCATGGGCAGCTCTAGCCCCAAACACCTGAGGATCGCCGGTCCCGAGTCTCAATACAAGCTCACTGACCTTCAACCTGACACAGAGTACATAGTCAGCCTGCACTCAGAGAAAGGGAACACGCTCAGCGAGGGAATCACTGATGTCTTTAGAACATGTGTGTAACCCCTCTCCCCTTTCTCCTGAGGTGAAACAATAGAATAATAGTGCTCTCCTGAGCCCATTTGGAAACCTCTCTTTTTTTTTGCTTTTGTTCTTCAGCTCAGCCAACAGGCAATGCTCCTCGATTCAGCACAGATGTCACCGATACAGCCATCATTGTTACCTGGACCCCAGTACCACGATTCAGCTATAGGGTATAGAGACTGTATTTACAATTTTCTGTTTACCACATTATTCGTTTGTTGTACAAAACAGGGCAAAAGAACAAAACGATATTGTAAAAAATTATATATTGGATGGCACGTTAGAGATTTAGCATATTGTTCTCAGGAATTGTGGAAATACATCACCTTACTTTAAAGGTGTCATGACGTGAGAAATCAAATTTGCCTTGATCTTTTGGCATATAAGAGGTCTTTGTACTATTAAAACATCCTGCAAGTTTCATAGCTTAAAACATCCTCCTCATTGTAAACAAAGCATTTATTTAATCAAGCTCCAAAAACGGCTAGTTTTGGATCCATTGGGGCAAGGGGACGTGACCAAGATGCAGTCGTTTGCATAAATACTGCCTCCAGAGGAAGACATTGACGAATAGTCATCTTCTCACCATAGGCCCCAATCAGTCCCTAGTGACTGACAAAATTGGTTAAAGTTGGTAATTAATGGTCATAGATGGAACACTAGGTTTCCCTAGAGAACAGTTGTTGCTCAAGCGCATAAACCAACTTGGACCAGCTACCATATTTCACCATAAGCTGTTATCACCAGGGTTTTGCTTTTACATTTTCAGAAAAAAAATCTCAAGGATATGTGTCCTTCTCTCAGATGTCTGTGAGGCCCAGCCAAGGTGGTGAGGCTCCCAGAGATGTGACCTCGGGAGAAGGCACTATTTACTTTTCTGGTCTGACTCCAGGATTGGAATATATCTACAGCTTGCAACCCTTGTTCAATAACCGAAAGCATGGCAACCCTATCACAAACAAAGCTGTGACATGTAAGTTACTGATAAGTCTAATTCAAGTAAATTTGACAAATGTCCGAAAGGTTTTAGAACTCAAATGCATAGTTGTTTTTTTTACTAGCTACAAAGACAAGAGGTCTGGTAGATCTGCAGAAAGAGATTAAACAAAATGTAGAGATTTCTAGCCTGTAATATACAGCTCAAAGTATTATATACATTTTCTAATTTTGGATTTCATTCCTCTTTGCTGTCACATTAGCCCTGTCCCCACCAACTGACCTAAATGTGGTGTCTAACCCTGTCACCGGTGAACTCAATGTCAGATGGAGCAGCACCAAAAGTCCGGGTAAATATTGACTGTACACCCACTTCTTATCCTTGTTCACCCTTTCTTTGAAGCATGCTGGTGGACCTTGGCTATTTGTGTAGGCTGTGACCATTTCAAATAATCAGGTTAAATTCTTCCAGGAATGATCTGTTCTTTCAGTCATCCTTTTCTCCCAATGTTCTTTGTCTGTTTATATATTTCATGTGTTTGTGATGTTTATTACATTTAGTGCATTTAATTCTAATTCTAGCATGTAATTTTTTACATTGGTAATCATGGTATTAGCAAAAAATATACCATAGTTTATTGGCCATCACTATGGTATTCTTTGAAGAACCTTATATTCATAATACTATGGCATATGCATATGGTAATCAGATGGTAATACCATCTTTGGACCCTATTACAGTCGCTATACTATTTTGTAAGTGTCCATTTCTGTTTTTATACTTGCAATATCTCCTTTATCTCCTTAGATATCACTGGCTACAGAGTGACATGCACACCAACCAATGGGCAGCATGGAAATACTCTAGAGGAGAGTGTTCGAGGGCATGAAACCTCATGTACCCTTGAGAACCTCAGTCCTGGCGTTGAATACAATGTCAGTGTCTACACTGTTAAAAACCATCTGCAGAGTGAGCCTATCTCAACCACCGTTACACAAGGTAAGACCCCATCTATAGTCAACAAATAAAGGTAAGTTCAAGCCATGCTCTGCTGGATCAAAACCACCATGACTGATCCAGAGAATCACCTTATTATGGATCCATAGATTTAGAAATTCACCCTCTCAAGACACCCAGCCAACAAAAAAGCCAATTGCTGCTTTTAAAGCATATCTGAATAATAGACTGTTGATCACAAGTATACTTCTGAAATATCAAATGTGAAGTCAATAGGTCTATTAGTTAGCCACAATGGTGAAAACTCGTGGCTCACAACTCATAGGGCTCCAACCTGCTACTAGTCTCCAGCCCGAAGATCAGTCTCCATGCTTGAGCTATATCTACTTCACCACATAATCCTGCTTCTGCTCTAGTAAGATGATCCTTTTAGATGCATTACACAAATATTGCAAAGATCCATAAAGACAGTTGCATTTAATATATTAGAATATTAACTTCTAATAAAATCCAGTCATTTCTTCTTTCCACTAAGTCTTTGATGTTGTTTAATCCGTTTGTGCATCATGAAAATAATTGTGTAATTCTCAACAAGCATGGCTGTTTCACTTTTGGTTTTAAATGTTTGAAAATATCTATTGAATTTAATAGTTGCTAGATAAGAGCTTGGTACTTTCTCTTTTTTGTAGTATGACTAATTCAAATCAAAAGCCTTTTTATTTTCCATTATTGCGTGCATGTCTCTTCTGATGATTAATCATTTGTTAGCACTGATGGCATGAGAACAGTAATTTGCTGCTTGTCTTAATTATTCATTGTCACTGCTTCTGTGTGTCTTGTCTTCTCTCTCCCTTTCCCATAAATGCAACTTTTTTAAACCAATTAAAGATGTGCCCAAGGTGGGTGATCTCAGCTTTGTTAATTTCACGGATACCACAATCGGAATTAGATGGACCCCGCTAAATTACCCGGCAGTTACTGGATACCATATTATGGTTGTTACGGCCGGCCAGAGTTTTCCTATTTTGGAGGACGTGGTGAACTCCTACGTCAGCTATTATACCATTCGTGGACTGGAGCCAGGCATCAATTATGACATCAGTGTGTCCACCGTTACAGATGAGGCGGAGAGTGTGCCCTCGGTGATCACACACCAAACCCAAACTGGTGAATTATCCTACATAGGTTTCTTATTACATTTCAGAGGGCTGGGTGTAAAAGAAGAGGGAAAGGAATGGAGAATATGGACATAAACGAGAGGCTGAGATACCCTCATCCCTCAAACATCATTCACTCAAGCCACTTCATTTCATTACTTAGAAGTCCTTTTTGAATCAATCATATGCTTATATCTGGATATTGATGCATTTCTACGTGTATGTTTGCATTTGCATTTCTGGGGAATGCACTAGTATAACTACCCCTTGGTGGGGTATCATATTGTTTGTATTTACTGTATTCCTATTTCATGTTAATAAGAAAAGGTTAAATTACACATTACTTAGCTATTTATTTTTATGCTGATAAAGTTTTGACTTCATTTATAAGTTCACTGTCTCTCAATCCCCTCTTGTTTAGCTATTCCAGCCCCCACAAACCTGAACTTTGCTGAGGTGGGCTCAGACTCCATGCGTGTGTCGTGGACTTCCCCTTCTGTTAAGCCATCTGAAATTAGCCGCTTTGTCATCCGCTACCATCCCACAAAAAATGATGACGACACTCAGGAAGTCAATGTAGGAGGTGGCATCAATAACTTCCTCCTTCAGAGTAAGGGTTTACTGATGTTTTCATTTAAAGATCTTAATTTAAACCATGTGCATCTTACAGTCTAAACACATTTCACCTACTGATTCTGATTTTTCTCGATTCAGACTTGCTGCCAAATACAGAGTATCTGGTAAAAGTAGTGTGCGTCTATGATGACAGAGAGAGTGAACCTGTAACTGGTATTCAGAAAACAAGTATGTATTTGGATATAAGAAATGGTGTTCAGTTCTTAGTTTTCTTACCACTCTATGTTCTAGTCCGTTAGCTCCTCCATTTGATTTTGTTCCCATCATCCACACAGAATTGGACTCCCCGACAAATCTGGACTTCTCTGATGTCTCCACCAACTCATTTACCCTGCACTGGATGGCTCCACGTGCCATCATTACAGGTTACCGTCTACGCTATCAGCCAACCAGTGGTGGGCGCACTAAAGACGAGAGACTTCCCCCGACGAGAAATTACTTCACACTGGTGAACCTAGCTCCTGAGACAGAATACACTGTCTATATTTATGCTGTCAGTGGCAATAAAGAGAGTCTACCACTTACTGGAACTCAAGCAACTGGTGAGAAGTTAAAAAATTAAGGATTTGTTTAGTCATATTTGTGAGGTATAATGATGCAACTCTTGTTTCTTCCTGTAGTCTCTGATGCTCCCACAGACCTGGCCGTGACGTCCTCCACTCCCACTAGCATCACCATCTCCTGGGATGCCCCTGCAGTCACTGTACGCTACTACAAGATCACACATGGTGAAACAGGTATGACAAAGTGTTTTTGTGGTGTTTCACTTGAACCTGTAAATGCAGCTGATTTCTTCTCATTGACTCCTAGGTGAAAGAGATGCACCCAGAGAGTTCACTGTTCCAGGAACACAATCCACTGCCACCATCCAGGGCCTGCGTCCAGACACCGATTACACCATCACACTGTATGCTGTGACTGGCAGAGGGGACAGCCCAGCCTCCAGCACACCAGTCATCATCACACACAGGACTGCAGGTGGAAGTAAGTACTCATGCTCAACAAGACATCTATATCTATTACAGTGTCTGACCATTAGCTTACCACAAATTTCTTGTGACTGTATTGTTTTTTTTCTCCATTCTCAGGTGTTCCATCCCCATCAGATTTAGAGGTTACTGATATTCAAGACAATGCCTTAACTGTCCGCTGGAGCCCAGCTAGAGGTCCCATCACAGGCTACAGATTAACAGGGACGCCCAAGGGTGGGCAAGGTCCTACATTCTCTGAGCTGGTTGGCCCTGGTGAGACATCTCTTGCTTTTTAACTTTTTATCAAAATGTATTACTAATCATAACCTTGAAGTTAATTTTGGAAGAACTGGTTTAGTTCTTGGACATGATGTAATAACTGTTCTATTTCTGCCTTTTCAGAACGTACAGAAATGACCATCCGTGGCTTGGTGCCCACATTGGAATATACAATTAATGTGATTGCTCTCAGCCAAGAAGGAGAGAGTACCCCAGTGGTCCAGAAAGCTACAACAGGTTAATGGTTTTTAGATTTCTTAGCCTACCTAACTTTTTAACCTTTGAAATCATGTTAAACTTGCCCCATTGGAACAACTTGGAGTTAAAGGGATAGTTCACCCAAAAATGAAAATGTGATGTTTATCTGCTTACCCCCAGGGCATCCAAGATGTAGGTGACTTTGTTTCTTCAGTAGAACACAAATTATGATTTTTAAGTCCAGCCGTTGCAGTCTATCAGTCGTATAATGCATGGTAATGGTACCAAAATCGATTTAGTTTTAAGTCGGTTTGAACAATCCGGATAAGTGCAAGTAAGTACCGTTTTGATTAGCCGTCGTACCTACAATGACTGTGCACTGAGTAAACAATGAGTGACGTATTCGCGCGAGAGATCACTTCCGGCGCTTGCGTAAACTACGCCAGAGCACGTACACACCGCATGCATCGGATGCCGTGCACGCGCTCAAGGAAGTTGGACATAGTGCTCTATTAGAGGTAAAAAATTATATAAATACTGTTCGGTTTCTCGCACAAACCGATCATTTCGTGTCTTAGGACATCAATGTGTCATCACGAGCCGCAGGGTTTAATTTGGATTTGTCTGTGCATGTTTTTTTTACTCTCATAGATTTTGGTACCATTGCCATGCATTATACAACTGATAGACTGCAACGGCTGGACTTAAAAATCATAATTTGTGTTCTACTGAAGAAACAAAGTCACCTACATCTTGGATGCCCTGGGGGTAAGCAGATAAACATCACATTTTCATTTTTGCGTGAACTATCCCTTTAAGGACTTTCTCAAGAGGTCAATGATTAGAGTTCATTGCTGTTCCTTACAGGGCTCGAACCAGCAACCGTCCAGTTAACAGTGCTGAGCTTTAGCCACTATGCAATGCCACCTTATACATACCCCCTGACTCTCTCCTTCTAACTCTCTAGCAAATTTACAGCATCCAAGAGATCTGACCTTCTCTGATGTGGACTCCACCTCCATGCTTGTGACATGGGATGTTCCACGGGTTCCAGGAGTGACATCCTACAGGGTTCTGTACTCTAGTCCAGAGGAGGGAGAAAGGGAGTACCAACCAGCTGTAAGTGGTCGTGATAACCGTGTGGTTCTCCAAGGTCTGAGCCCAGGAACCATGTACAACATTAAAGTCATTCCCATGAAAGGACGTAACCCAGTCCGTACTCTTGAGGGCATTCAGCAAACTACCCATGAGGAGACTCAGCCCACTGGTATGACCTGTCTGAATTCAACATAGCTTTTCAAGCTAGTCAATTAGATAATAGGGTTGAGACCCTGTCCTGATTCTTGTCCCTTTACCTTTCCCAGCTGTCCCTGCTCCCACCAATATACAGTTCTTCGACATTAGTCCATCTTCTTTTGTCGTGGCATGGCAAGCACCCAATGCTAGGCTTTCTGGCTATCGTGTGGTGGTATCACCGAAGAATCATTATGCCCCAGCCAAAGAAATGAATGTTGCACCAGACTCCACACAAGTCTTAGTGCCTGGGCTTATGGTAATAGGTCTACCTTCTTGTAATTTACAAATACATTTAATCTTTGTAGGTACAAGTAAAAGTGGAAAAGTTATTTGTTGAATCATGACTTGGACATTTCTGGCCTAAATATCTGTTGTTTACTTTCAGGTGGCAACCGCTTATGAGGTTCATGTCTATGCACTGAGAGGTTCAGACAGCAGTTCTCCTCTCACTGGAGAATGCACCACCGCTGACAGTAAGTGGGTTACCCATATATTGTATTACAGTAGAGTGATTTTTAGTAGTTTTCCTATATTAAATGGAAACTATAATCTCATTGACTCCACAGATATAACCCCTCCTCGTCGAGTCCGTGTCACTGATGTGAAAGACACTTCATTCACTCTCATATGGCGTGTTGTCAATAATGAGCCAATGACAGGTTTCCTTATTGAAGCCACACCCAAAACTGGAGGTCACCCCACCTTCAGGCAGACTATTTCTGCTGACAGCCATACCTACGTTGTCACTGGTAGGCTACCATACAATCCATAAATAGCCCCTTATAGGCCATCTGTTTCAACATTAATGGTTAAGCACTGTTTGCTCAAAAAGTAAACTGGCTCTGGTATTATAACTTCCATGGTATTTATATTGTATTCAAAGTTACTTTAAAGATTACTGTTTTATTACCATCACAGTAGTGTCTAAAATCTATGGGGTTACCATTTTAGTTTATTGTAAATATTGTATCCTGTTTGGTCTGGATAAACACAAAAATGTTTTTTATAACTTTTTTTTTTAACATGTTGGGAGTATTGTTGTTTATTGAAATAAATGTATTCCCTCCCTCAGGTTTGCAGCCAGGTGTCATGTATGTGGTCAACATGTACACATTAAATGGAAATACTCGAAGCCCTCCTTTCACAATTACTGTAAACACAGGTACAACTAAGCAAATATGCCAATGTGGAAAGAGTAATCTACTGTAATAATGCTAATGAACTTATTTAAATTTCCCAGTATGACCTTAAACTTTATTTTTGTCCTATATCGTCACGGCTCGGCCAGCTGTTCCGTCTGCGACTAACCTCCAGTTCACCTCGCTGACCCCCAATTCCATCTCCTTTACTTGGCAAGCCCCTTCAACACACATTACAGGATATTACATCACTTATGAAGAAGCAGGTGGTTCGCCTCGTGAGCTTACACCCCGCCCTAACGTTGACCAGAACTACGCCACCATCACTGGTAAGAACACCAGATGTGGTATACATAGATGTTGGTAAATTAGGCTTATGAAACACATTTATAATGCACTATGCAACCTTATTGTGATATTTTAATAACAGGTCTGAAACCAGGCACAGAATACATTATAAAGATCTTTGTCCTACTGAATAGCCAGAGGAGCGGACCACTGGTTGGCACGGCCACAACTCGTAAGTATTTGCTCAAATAAAACATTGATTTTCCTAACTTGTAAGTCACTTTGGATAAAAGTGTCTGATTAATGGATACATGTAAATACAGAATGTTAATGCACATATTGAGACATAAGGTGTACTCCCTTATGCTTTGTTTCTGAATGGTACAAGCTAGCGAAAAGTGTTTTGCAAGCATGATAGCTACTGCTGCATTAGCAATTGAAATAGATACAGCACATTTTGTTGAACTAGCCTACACTGGATTTTATAAAAGCTTGATTGCGCTGGCTTGCATTTCAGTAGTATACTTGGCTAAGCAGTACATTTTCTTAGTGCTTAGCTTTTTAATGATGAAATTCACTCAGAACTGAAATGCAAAATGAAGTTAAAATGCATTTAACGTCGCTCAATTGATGCACCACGCTGACTGGAATGCTAGCTCGTCAATACACTGTTTAATTTATTCAAACTAAGTGTTCCCTCATTGGACTACTATGATCAAAACCTTTGATAAGTGTTTAAAGGGCTGGTCCAGACTTTCACCAACGTTTTCACTCTGAGGAGAAGTGTAATCTTGGACTGAATCTTACACCATATCCAAACCAAACGTGATGCAAAGGTTTCCATTGACAATGTTACAAAACCACTGCCAATGTTTAAAGGGGTCATATGATGTGATTTCAAGTTTTCCTTTCTCTTTGGAGTGTTACAAGCTGATTGTGCATAGATAAGATCCCTGAAGTTGCAAAGACTAAAGTCTCAAAACCAAAGAGATATTCTTTATCAAAGTTAAGACTCTGCCACGCCCCCCTAAAATGGCTCGTTCTAACACGCCCCCACATATCTACCTCACTATGTGGAAATATTTGCATGGAAAGAAGGCGTGGTTTCAGTAACTGCAGTTAGTGTTGAAGCAGCATGTCAGGGAGACGCTGTGTTTCTAGGCAAAAGCAAAAGCACTTTATTTGGCCTTCCGAAAGTAGATGCATTTAGGAATCTTTAAGATTTCTTACAACAGAATAGCAATGCATTTTTTGGACGACCTTTTCGTGAACCTAGGAGAGGAGGTAATTCTGACTTTGCTATGACAATCTGGCGCTTCTGAATCAGCTACTGTTTTGTTATTAGTTTAAGTATTTGCTATTGACTGTTCAAATGCGGAGTTTTGCGCATTGTGTGTGTGTGTGTGCACACGCGAAGAGAGAGAGAGAGGGGGGGAGGGGGAGGGGGTTCACATCACAGTGGAGTCAGCTGTCTTAACCGTGGTTTGTGTGCTGCAAACACATACCAGCTTCATCACTGTGTCTGTCACGTGACTGTTCCCCTTTCGGGCTCTGTCTTCACATTTATTTTGAAAGATGAAGCTCGCGATTATGGTAAGGGGCGTTACATTTCCGACGAGTGCTTGCGGTGTTCGGCCAATCACAATGCACTGGGTCAGCTGGCCAATCAGAGCAGACTGCGCTTGTCGGAAGGAGGGACTTTGTAGAAAATGAAGCGTTTGAGAGAGGCGGGGGATAGAGGACCTACAATAATGTACAGTATTTGAAAAATAATGTGGTTTTTGAACATTAAAGCATGTCAACATATTCTGTTACACCAAATACACAAAATAATGATCTTTAAAAAAGCATCATATGACCCCTTTAATAAAGAGTTGAATCTGGAATTTTGAACAAATGAGATTTCACAATGGGCAGGAAACAAACAGACAAGTTGAAAATAAACAAACATCCAGCAACTTGTCACAGCTGAAGACAGAAACTTGACTCAATCTGTTGGTTTAACTATATAATGCACATCATCCTCAATGTTTAGTTGTAAAACATTGGTGAATTTTGAGAAAATTCTTGGACCAACTGCCCTTTAAAATGATATGTCATTACTTGACTGAATCTTTAGTGCCTTACTGGCTGGTAGATATAACGGTGGCTGCCTCTTTACTTGCTGCTTTGCTTTTAACACCTTTTTCCCGCCCAGAGCTGACCTCTGATCTGCCCAGTCTGCCCCACCACGGTGGCCCAGACAAGCTGGATGTGCCTGAGTCTAACAGAGTTCATGCAGTGGGTCCCACTGGGCATGACTCACCTGATGCACACGGGCAGCATGTGGAGTACACAGAATTCAATAATCAGCCCAGTCAACCCAACAGAGGCTACAAGCCTCACCATCATCAAACAATCCCTCAACCTAACCAACCCCGACCCCAGCCTTATGTGCCTCAAGTTGGGGAGACCCTAGTCTACATCCCCAAGGTGGGACCCGATGGGGGCCGTGTGCCTCAAATTATTCAGGTTAGTGAGAGGCCTGGCGATGGCCATCCTTTTGGTTTTCCAGAAGACAAGACTGGAAGACCACAGGAGGCCCAGACCCAGACCCCCATCTCATGGCAGCCCTACCAGCAAAGTTCTGGTTACCTGGTGTCCTGTCAGCCCATTACCCATCCAGATGAGAAGATGTTTCAGGTGAGGACCTAGGGAGGATTTACAGAAAATTTGAGATGAATGCAAAAGAAAAAGTTCCCAAATCGTACTTTATCACCTTACGCTTCACCCTTTCTTGTTTTGCAGATGCGTGTCCCAGGAACAACCACAAGCGCCACCCTGATCGGTCTCACCTCTGGTGCCTCTTATAATGTCATTGTGGAGGCCTTGAAGGGAGCCCTCAAACACAAAATTTTGGAGGAAATCGTCACCGCTGGAAACACAGGTCAAGAATCAATGGACATTGATGAAGGCTTAAAAATACACATGCTTATAATGCTTGTCTGAATGTTTCTTTATTTTGTTCCCATTAAAACCAACAGTTCCAAGAGATAGTTCATCTAGCAAGGACTCATGTTATGACACCTTCACAGCCACTCACCATGATGTCGGAGAGGAATGGGAGCGCATGTCTGACACCGGCTTCAAACTCTGGTGCAAATGTCTCGGTTTGGGAAGTGGACATTTCAGATGTGACTCTTCCAGTGAGTAACTTGGAGATCAAATTTTTTCCTGTAGACAATCCTGTGTGAGTGCATCTACTCTAAATATCACTTTTTACACAGAATGGTGTCATGACAATGGAAACAACTACCGCATTGGTGAAAAGTGGGAGCGACGGGCAGAAAACGGTCACTTGATGAGCTGCACTTGTTTGGGCAATGGCAAAGGAGAGTTCAAGTGTGAACCACGTAAGTGCTTCCTCTAAACAGACACTGTATAGTCAAGTTTATTCCAATCAGTGGAATTAAAAATCTAGCATTTTGTTATAGATGAGTCCATATGTTACGATGACGGAAAGATGTATCAGGTTGGAAACCAGTGGCAGAAAGAATACTTAGGGGCCATTTGCACTTGCACATGCTATGGCGGACAGCAGGTAAGACCAGAATATATTTTACGACAAAGTAGAGAAAGAAAATTTCAAAACATGCAATAAGATGCAATTCAAAGGGGGTGTTTTAAAGTCATATGCTTGAGTCTGGTGAAATGGATTGTATATGTGCTGCTCCTCAGGGCTGGCGATGTGAGAACTGCAGAAGGCCTGGTGCTGAGATAAGCTCTGACCTGCTCAAACCTGTCCGCTTAAACACTGGCCAGAGAATGGTGAGTATCGGCTTTCAGTCATGCAAGCATTTCAAAAGGCAAAAGAGTTATATTTTTGGTAAATGTGCACTGGCAATATATATCACATATATTTGAATGTATGTAGATAATTATTTATATATTTGAATGCATGTAGATAAATATTTCTGCTTTTTATTACATGACATATTCCCCTTCGTTCTTCCAGAACATTCAGTGCCCCATTGAATGTCTCCGACCTGAGCTTCTTGCAGATGCTGTGGCCAACGCCAAACCCAGAGAGTAAAATTGTTTCTGACCAAACTGCACCATGACCTTCTGCCCCCCTCATGCATCATTTCATTGGGACATGTAATAAAGATGTGATTTTATATGAGAACATACTAATCACATACTGCTTTAAAATCTCCCAGTTTATGTCATGTCTCCACTGCCGTCCAGTTGTGATGCCATAGCAACAGCTGCATTTATTCACAGCCTTTGATTGGCTGTTGTTTGGTTGAGGAATTTCAATGGCTTTTACATTTTTGTTTGCTAGTGTTTTATACATCCATTAAAAAAAATTACTGCAATGTCAAAAGATATTTCTTATTGCAGTCAGTTAAACCCATTTGTTGATACCAAAACTATAACGGGAAAGTGCATTTTCTCTGTTAATATGTGAAGAGATTTTTTTTATATATATATATATATATACAGCTTTCTAATCAATTAAATTTACAATAAACTACCTTACCATTATTGTTAGAGGTTTTCAGTCTTTATTATTTGATATAGAGGCAATTATGAGACAGAAGTAAAAACAAGCACTGTTTTATAAGAATGTTAGAACACCACTGGGGGTACACTGAGGTACCAAAAATTAAGTCTCAATGGGTCTTTTATGTGTTTTTTTTTTTTCAACATGGCTCATTGATTATTTAGAGTCAGCACTGTTTTTAGATAGATACACATTTTAATTTTCTAAATTCTTTGACTATTTATCCCCTTAATTCAGAAGTGTTTGGATTGTATAGAATTTGTCTCATTTGATTGTCATTGTTCTACACCAGTTCTCACTACTGTTAAATCCATTTTCTGATATATTGCAAGACTTATGAAAAATTGTATTTATACAATGTCACTCAAAACTAATTATTTTGGAACTAGGTTCTAAAGTAAACAAGCCTTGCAAAAAGCATGTCAACAAATGCAAATAAACCCTTGATGGAATCTATGACAATCTATTATATCTGATTTGTCTTTTTATTTTGTAATGCTCTTGGACACTAAAGGCAGCACAATGGAATGTATCAGGAAGTGTATGGACAATTTCACATTGCAAATGTTTCATACAGCAGCTCCCAACAAGGATGGCATGGCAGAAATTATGCAAAGAAAAGATATAAAAGAACAGTAGTGGATCGTCTTATTCTGAGCATATCAGTATTAAAGAAGCCATGTATGAATAATGTTCCTAACTATTTAGCAACAATGTCACTTTGCTCTTGGCTTTAAGATCAGAGTACAAAGAGAAACTACTGAGTTAATGTCAAAGTGGACAGGCTAGCTATTAGACTTGAAATTAGTTATGAAATGTGTAGCAACTTGTAATCGCAGTAAATGATGTGCATCTAAAAATAAAGAAACCCTATACTTTCGTAACAGTGAAACTAGTTGGATATTTGTATTCAACTGGATGTTTTGTAGTGCTTTTCAGTGATGGAAAAGACGGATTTTGGTGTGCACCAGGGTAATACCCAGCTCATTGCAGGCGTTCATGACCACCTCATCCGCAGTAGAGCCAGAGGGGGCGGCAATATACTCCACACCGCTCTAAAATCACACACAAATAGAAAACCACTTAAATCACAGTCACTTTTATGCACAATTTATATGCCATCGTAAGAAACAAAAGGAATGTATAATGCAGCAACAAGCAAATTTGATGGTGTATACAAGTGTGCCCAAAACATGAATAATGACTTAAAGGGGTCCTATTATGCTTATTCACTTTTTTAATTTTAGTCAGTGTGTAGTGTGTATGTATGGGCATAAAAAAAGATCTAGAAAGTTACAAATCTCAAAGTCCACTACAAAGGGAGTTACTTCGAACGGCTCGTTTGGACTACAGCGTTTGTTTTCCGGGCTTTGTGATATCACAAAGCGGCTCATTAGAAGATCATTAAAAATAATTCCCGCCTACAGACGTAGCTGGGCGCTGCCGGTGTGCCTACACTCATAGAAAATAATGTATTTGAATTTTAAAGATGTGGCGTGATGCGACGCTGCGCTTCTCGTCCGGTGCGCGACCGCCTGAAACGCTGTTTTTTTTCACCTCCATGCCCAAATGTCTTTGTTTGGGCTTCCGAAAGGGGATGATGTCAGGAAACAATGGTTGCAATTTATTTTTTAACTCTGTTCCTGAGCAAATTTTTTCCTGTAGACAATCCTGTGTGAGTGCATCTACTCTAAATATCACTTTTTACACAGAATGGTGTCATGACAATGGAAACAACTACCGCATTGGTGAAAAGTGGGAGCGACGGGCAGAAAACGGTCACTTGATGAGCTGCACTTGTTTGGGCAATGGCAAAGGAGAGTTCAAGTGTGAACCACGTAAGTGCTTCCTCTAAACAGACACTGTATAGTCAAGTTTATTCCAATCAGTGGAATTAAAAATCTAGCATTTTGTTATAGATGAGTCCATATGTTACGATGACGGAAAGATGTATCAGGTTGGAAACCAGTGGCAGAAAGAATACTTAGGGGCCATTTGCACTTGCACATGCTATGGCGGACAGCAGGTAAGACCAGAATATATTTTACGACAAAGTAGAGAAAGAAAATTTCAAAACATGCAATAAGATGCAATTCAAAGGGGGTGTTTTAAAGTCATATGCTTGAGTCTGGTGAAATGGATTGTATATGTGCTGCTCCTCAGGGCTGGCGATGTGAGAACTGCAGAAGGCCTGGTGCTGAGATAAGCTCTGACCTGCTCAAACCTGTCCGCTTAAACACTGGCCAGAGAATGGTGAGTATCGGCTTTCAGTCATGCAAGCATTTCAAAAGGCAAAAGAGTTATATTTTTGGTAAATGTGCACTGGCAATATATATCACATATATTTGAATGTATGTAGATAATTATTTATATATTTGAATGCATGTAGATAAATATTTCTGCTTTTTATTACATGACATATTCCCCTTCGTTCTTCCAGAACATTCAGTGCCCCATTGAATGTCTCCGACCTGAGCTTCTTGCAGATGCTGTGGCCAACGCCAAACCCAGAGAGTAAAATTGTTTCTGACCAAACTGCACCATGACCTTCTGCCCCCCTCATGCATCATTTCATTGGGACATGTAATAAAGATGTGATTTTATATGAGAACATACTAATCACATACTGCTTTAAAATCTCCCAGTTTATGTCATGTCTCCACTGCCGTCCAGTTGTGATGCCATAGCAACAGCTGCATTTATTCACAGCCTTTGATTGGCTGTTGTTTGGTTGAGGAATTTCAATGGCTTTTACATTTTTGTTTGCTAGTGTTTTATACATCCATTAAAAAAAATTACTGCAATGTCAAAAGATATTTCTTATTGCAGTCAGTTAAACCCATTTGTTGATACCAAAACTATAACGGGAAAGTGCATTTTCTCTGTTAATATGTGAAGAGATTTTTTTTATATATATATATATATATACAGCTTTCTAATCAATTAAATTTACAATAAACTACCTTACCATTATTGTTAGAGGTTTTCAGTCTTTATTATTTGATATAGAGGCAATTATGAGACAGAAGTAAAAACAAGCACTGTTTTATAAGAATGTTAGAACACCACTGGGGGTACACTGAGGTACCAAAAATTAAGTCTCAATGGGTCTTTTATGTGTTTTTTTTTTTTCAACATGGCTCATTGATTATTTAGAGTCAGCACTGTTTTTAGATAGATACACATTTTAATTTTCTAAATTCTTTGACTATTTATCCCCTTAATTCAGAAGTGTTTGGATTGTATAGAATTTGTCTCATTTGATTGTCATTGTTCTACACCAGTTCTCACTACTGTTAAATCCATTTTCTGATATATTGCAAGACTTATGAAAAATTGTATTTATACAATGTCACTCAAAACTAATTATTTTGGAACTAGGTTCTAAAGTAAACAAGCCTTGCAAAAAGCATGTCAACAAATGCAAATAAACCCTTGATGGAATCTATGACAATCTATTATATCTGATTTGTCTTTTTATTTTGTAATGCTCTTGGACACTAAAGGCAGCACAATGGAATGTATCAGGAAGTGTATGGACAATTTCACATTGCAAATGTTTCATACAGCAGCTCCCAACAAGGATGGCATGGCAGAAATTATGCAAAGAAAAGATATAAAAGAACAGTAGTGGATCGTCTTATTCTGAGCATATCAGTATTAAAGAAGCCATGTATGAATAATGTTCCTAACTATTTAGCAACAATGTCACTTTGCTCTTGGCTTTAAGATCAGAGTACAAAGAGAAACTACTGAGTTAATGTCAAAGTGGACAGGCTAGCTATTAGACTTGAAATTAGTTATGAAATGTGTAGCAACTTGTAATCGCAGTAAATGATGTGCATCTAAAAATAAAGAAACCCTATACTTTCGTAACAGTGAAACTAGTTGGATATTTGTATTCAACTGGATGTTTTGTAGTGCTTTTCAGTGATGGAAAAGACGGATTTTGGTGTGCACCAGGGTAATACCCAGCTCATTGCAGGCGTTCATGACCACCTCATCCGCAGTAGAGCCAGAGGGGGCGGCAATATACTCCACACCGCTCTAAAATCACACACAAATAGAAAACCACTTAAATCACAGTCACTTTTATGCACAATTTATATGCCATCGTAAGAAACAAAAGGAATGTATAATGCAGCAACAAGCAAATTTGATGGTGTATACAAGTGTGCCCAAAACATGAATAATGACTTAAAGGGGTCCTATTATGCTTATTCACTTTTTTAATTTTAGTCAGTGTGTAGTGTGTATGTATGGGCATAAAAAAAGATCTAGAAAGTTACAAATCTCAAAGTCCACTACAAAGGGAGTTACTTCGAACGGCTCGTTTGGACTACAGCGTTTGTTTTCCGGGCTTTGTGATATCACAAAGCGGCTCATTAGAAGATCATTAAAAATAATTCCCGCCTACAGACGTAGCTGGGCGCTGCCGGTGTGCCTACACTCATAGAAAATAATGTATTTGAATTTTAAAGATGTGGCGTGATGCGACGCTGCGCTTCTCGTCCGGTGCGCGACCGCCTGAAACGCTGTTTTTTTTCACCTCCATGCCCAAATGTCTTTGTTTGGGCTTCCGAAAGGGGATGATGTCAGGAAACAATGGTTGCAATTTATTTTTTAACTCTGTTCCTGAGCATTATAACCCCAATTTGCTATTGTGTCCTGCGCATTTCACTGAGGACAGCTTCCACAACACGAGGGAGTACAGTGTCGGATTCACCAAAAAGCTTTTGTTGAAAGACGGAGCAAGGGGCGTGGCAGTACTGAAACACCATCTAAGCTGTTCGCCAATCACAACGCACTGGTACAGCTAACCAATCACAACACATTTTGTTTTTCGGAAGGTGGACCTTCATCAAAGCCAGAACTAATCGAGCCGTTTGTGCCAGCCTGGGGAGAAAGGTATTTTAATAATGTAAATTATGTGAAAACTAATGCGTTTTTCGAACCATCAAGCATGAGAGCATGTTCTAGTACACCCCCAAAACAAAATCAAGACTTTGAAAAAGAGCATAATAGGACCCCTTTAAGCTTTATAACACTAGCAGAGGGTGTTTACCCGTTTGGCACGGTCAACATTATCCCGGAAGGGGAAGAAAGCATCTGAACTGAGGGCCACAGCCTGCAGAGAACTGATCCAGTTCTTCTTCTCAACCTCCAACAGAGTCTCAGGAACCTCGTCAAACAGACCCTTCCAAACCTCCATATCTGGACTCTAATGTACAAAAAAAAATTTCAATATCATTAGGCAAAACTCCACTGCGAAGCAATCTACGAAAATACTGCGGTGCATAAAATCCATTCTAAGATTTTATAAATTTCCAAGATTTGCCTGACGGTGTTTATTATTATTATTAATAATAATAATGATATTGTATTTTATTTATTATACCACCCAAAGAATTACATGAAATAAAACACTGCCATTTTCACAGGCACATTTACTACATTATCATTATCTTTATATTTCATTTGGGTTTTGGTGTGAAATAAGCTACACATTTCTTGACAGATTTCCTAAGATTTACCCCAAAATATTACACTTTAATGATCCCAAATGTCACAAAATGACAAAGTACTGTAAATCAACGGCACGTTTGATCCACAAATGATTTGAAAACAGAAACGGTGCATTAATATTCACTAAAAGTACTGTAGCTTTTGGAACTAGTCAAGTATAGTAGATCTCAAAAATATTCCCCAAGACAAATATTCACCAAGTTAACTAGGCTGGCCAATACATCCCTCTATGACCAGTACAAAACCAATTTTTCAATACACTACCTCTCCAATTGTTCCGCTGACATACTGATCAATGGCATTAGCCATCTCTGCACGCTTAACTCCGCTGCGGAATTTCATATTGAGAACTCGTGGATGGTGCCTGAGCCACCAGTTATCAGCCTTGTCTCCTGCCAGCCGAGTGCAGTGGATACGAGACTGCTGCCCAGCACCGATGCCAATCACCTAACAAACACACACACACACATAGTACACAATTTTGTACAACTCATTTTCAACCATTTACATGTTTTGGCATTTAAATGAAATTAAAACTTTTTGTTTTTAAGGTTTTTGGTTACCTGACCATCCTTTGCATAACACACAGAGTTGGACTGAGTGTACTTCACTGCGATAGTGGCTACAATGAGGTCTCGTAGGGCACTCTCAGAAAGCTTTCATGGGTGGAGAAAAAAAAATCACTTCATCTGTTATTTATTTATTTTTCACATATTAACATTAATATCACGGCCCTCTTTCCACAGTCCAATCAAATCGCTATTCAAAAATGTAATTTTTTACTATACAATATGGTTTCAAAAAGTATATTTCAAAATTGTGACAAAATCAAATGCATATTGAAGACATTTTGATCAATTTGCCTAATTAAAATCAGAACTTGCACAAATAAAACAATAATAGTGTTTCTCACCTTGCCCTTTGACACAATGTTGCTGAAGAGCTCTTTATCAATGACAGCTCCATTCCTCTTCTGTTTGAGGTGCAAACCAAACAGCACTCTCACCTCCTCTTCATCAGGTTCATACTCGGGATCCATCTTTTTAAAAAAAAGCATACATTACATTATGCAGGCTTAGAGTTGAAGCACATGGGCTTTGAGCATTCCTTGAAGTACTGTTCATAAGTTTGGGGCTAGTATTTTTTTTTTCTGAAAAATCAATAATGTGACAAGACTTTTAAAAAAAGAGAATGCGAAGTGTTTCTTGAGCAGCAAACCACCATATTAGAGTGATTTTTTAAAGGATCATGTGACACTGGTCATGTGAGACTGGAGTAATGATGCTGAAAATTCAGATTTGCCATAACATGAATGAACTACGTTTTAAAATATCTTAAAATAGAAAACAGCTATTTTAAATTGTGATAATATAATGGTCAAATAAATGAAGTCCAGGTGAGCACGAGAGACTTATTGACCCCAAACTTACTTTATGCATAATCACAAATGTGTATTGACCAAACAGAAAATGCTATGGGAAACGGTGGAGCAAACTTAGCCAAGCAACAATTCTTGTGTCTCTTTAAATCAATGAACAAGCATGGTTTACCCGAAGGACGCAATAGTTTCCATTCTTCTTTTTGGAGAGAATGCGAAGTGCTTCCTCATCATAACCAGGAGCAACGATACCATCTGAAACCTAAAGAAATTGGGTAAAGTTTTGTATAAAATATACAAATAAATTAATTTGTTAAATAAGAGGCTAATAAGAATGCTTAGATGTGATTCAAAAAGTTCTCACACACCTCTCTGGATATGATCTTGGCAGTAGGGACGTCACAGATGTCAGACAAAGCAATGAAGTCTCCAAAGGAGGACATCCTGTCAGAACCTACAAGATATTTTTCAGATTTTTCCACACTTCAGGCTTAAACATGCCAAACTACACACCTGATGGTGCATTCTTCTATTCTTCCTATTACTAAAGTTAAAAAAATTAAGATGCATGGACAGAAGTTTCACCTCTGGCTCTGGCGTATGCAGTTGCGAGGGGGGTGAGATCCTGGAGCATGTCATTCACCATACACACCTTGGCCTCATCTTCGCTCAAAGCGACACCAACTGCAGCTCCTGAAAGGTGAAAATGTGTCTCAAATGTGTGTCTTAAAAAGTCTAAGCCCTTTCCTAAACTCTACAAGACATGAGCATCTGAGAAACAAGTTTGCATGCATACCTGCAGGGCTGACATGTTTAAATGAAGTGGCAGCTGGTAACCCAAGAGCTTTCTTCAATTCTCTCACCAGCTGCCAGGCGTTCAGAGCATCGCACAGGTTAATGAAGCCTGGAGATCCATTCAGCACTGAGACCAAGTCAGAAATGTCGAGGAATATTAATATTCTATGTTTTGCAGTTGAATATTGATCTGGTAGTAGTATAAGTGATCCTATATACCGGTAAGTGGAAGTGCTGGGCGAAGAGTGTAGAGCTGAGCAGGTGCTTGATGGGGGTTCATGCCGTACCGCAGAGGCAGCTGGGAAATTCCTCGACTGTATTCACGTCTGAAGTAATCAGAAATGGCCTCGTCGTACTGAGCGGTGTGTGTGAAGGCCTGAGATATTACAAATATAAATTCACACATACATTCCAAGTTAACTAAAGTCACATTTGAACAACTGAAATTGGGGTCCTTGTTAATTGTTGATCAAAATAAATCGACTGATGGTTTTTTAATCAAGGATTAATGCAGATGTCTAAAAAGAAGGGGTGCTAATATGTTATGATAATTTGATGAGACAGTTACATAAAAATGCTGACATTAAAATGCTAGATTTTTAAATTCTATACCGTTTTAAATACATGCTACTATTTATTTTATTCATACTTTAAGAAATCATTAAATTGATAAAATGTTACAAAAGTGTTCTATTTCAAACAAAAGCTGTTCTTTTGAACTTTCTATTTATCAAAGAAACCTGAAAC